TCAAATACAACCTCCAATCTCCAATATTCACCTGAATGCTGAGTGAATGTTGAGTTTTACTGGTTAATTTATTTTTGTGCACTTTTCTTTTGTATTGTCCTACACTCCCCTTCCTTTTGGATTGTAAGCCGCCCTGAGTCCCCTCAGGGAAAAGGGCGGCCTATAAATGTCTAATAAATCCAAATCCAAATCCAAATATTAGGACATACTAATTCAGGGAAGCAAGATATGCAAATTCACTGCCGCCCACCAATGTTTTCATTATAGTTTCTAGTGCTGGAATAAAAAGGTTGCCCAGGACTTAGGAAACCGAATGCTACATATTCCCTTTTCTTTGACACAATGTACGGGAATGGTCTTTGCAGCCTGGACACTGTGTTCAAAGGTCATCTGACTATAATTTCAAGATTTACTTGAATGGTGATGTTTAGCTTGGGTTAAACCTTTGGCATTGCCTCTACTGCAGAGATTTAAAAAAGAATATAGAAGGAAAAGAAGCTGCACAGTGCTTCAATTCATTGAAGCATCAAAGTCTTTTGAAGATGACAGAATGTTTATAAAACCAACAAGCAAGCTTGAAAAACGTTGCTGAATGAGAAAAAATAACACGCTCATCTATGCAGAATAGACAACACAGTGACTTATTTTTTAAGCCAAAGTTTAAAACAAACATGCCTTTTTGTTGTGATGGGTCAAAGCATTGTTCCTCAAAATAACATTGCATTTTAGCAAAAAACAAATTAAATAAAATAAAAAAGAGAGAGAGAAAATTCTCAGAGCTGTTAAGCCTGACATATTTTGGTTTATTCCATGCTAACTTGATTTTGCAGTATCCCCACAAAAACATACAGTGCTTTATAAGCTCATGACTTAAATTTTTGGCTCAAAAATACATAGATATGGGTATAAAATTCAGGCAAATGAGTATTTTGTGATACAGTGCACACAAGAATTCAAATTGTGTAGAAAATAGACATTACAAATGGGATTTCAATGGAGTTTTATTACTGACAGATGTCAAAACAGGACAGAACAAGCTTATGAATTAATAAACGGGAAGTTGCCATGAACAGAAAAAGTTCTAATGCATAAATTGTGATTTAACAGCATTCTATTGGTGAGAGTTCTGTGTATGCACCCATCAATATGAAAAAATGCTTCCCAGTGTAAATAATAGGAACAATAATAAACCAAAGCTCACTAAAATACAGGTTTAGGTTTACACTTAAAATAGTCAAGTATGAACACTACAACCACATGTTTGCAAGTGTGTAATGTATGGAAACACTAGTCAGAGCATTGGAATTGTTTCCTGTTCTTTGTCATATTTGCATTTTTGGCAAATGGATACCGTATAATATGCTTCTCATTATTACAGAAAAGGGCTATATATAGCATTTCATAGCAAGGAAGAATGCTTGGTGGAATGCTCCTTTCCTTTAACTAAAAAAAAATACTACTTGACTTTATGAGTTAAAGAATGTAAACTCATACAATTTAATTTAGTAATTATTTCTGTTTTATTATGTTTACATTAATATAAACATAATATAAAATAACTTAAAAAAACAAATATGTAATGTGCAATAAAGAAGCCAAATATCCTTTCCTAATCAAGTTATTTAATTAGGTCCAGCTTTAACTATAGCACAAGGGTTGCTCTTTATCTTGAACTAAACAATACTATTTAACTTTATGAATTGCTCCAAACTTTGGTTTGTCCCCCACCCCCTGCCCTTCTTTATTCTTTCTTCTTTTGTATTGTATCTTGTAGACTGTAAATTTGCAAATAAAAACTGTTCTGCTTTCACTGGTTCTATGTGAGCTTCTGTGAAAAACTTCCTGCCTGAAGAATAAGATGAAAAAATGGTTTTAAGTCAATGCAATAATAAATAATGAGAAAACGCTTCTCAGAATTGGGAGTAAAAATCATTCATTACAATTTGAGTATTTGAAATTCAAGTTTTAAAAAATATCAAGAATTTTAACGTAGAAGCTGAGTTTACCTTCCCTTGAAAAATCTCTCTCTATGACTTGGAAATTAAAATGCCACATGGTACGAGAGTAAGACATGGTATGAATCTAAGTAGCTTTTAATTCAGTTTCAATATACCATCAAATGAGATTTGCAATGTTTATATCTACTAGCAGAACATAATTGTTACATGATACTTGATGACAGTGGTAGAAGATGTAGCCACTGAATATAGACTAAATTACTAATTAGTTCCTTCTGGCTGCTATTCCTTTGAGGGCAAAAACCTACTTCTGTGTCTATTATATTTCATCTATGGTGAGTAGAAAAAAATACAATTAACTTATCTGTCATGTAAGATTATTTGAAATGTATTTATTTCATTTTAATTGTGTGAACAGAAAGTGTTTCTTCAAGCATGCTGGAAGACAGCTGTTTTGCCAACAACTGCAAGACACTGAACTGAACACATGCAATGCGATAAACAAGGATAATAAATACAAACATAGCTGCAAAGCCCAGGGACAACACTTCATTTTTACTCAGTACCATCAAAGTATTTCTGTTAAAATGGGTCTTAGATTAAGGGTTCGGTATTTGCATAATCAGTATTTGACTACAGGTTATGTAGACTGACACCAGAGATTTCACAATATTGGGTGGAATTCAGCCAGTTCGGACCGGTTCGGGTGAATAGGATGCTAATTTTACATCTGTTTCGCCAAACCTATGGTTGCAAGGATAGGCTGGCCCCGCCCACCCCTCCCCCCTAGAAGTTTCCATGCAGCCCGTTTTGGATGCCAGATAAGTGCAGGGACCACTTGGAGGCTCTGGGGGGGGGGGAGCAAAAAATGGGCCTCCCGGAAGTTCCAGGAATTCGGAAATGGGCTCGGGGGACGCTGTTTTCACCCTTCCAGAGGCTTCAGGGGAGGACAAAAGCCCCTCCTCCCTCTGTGGTGCAGGAGACCAAGTAGGCCACGCCCATCATGGCCATGCCGGTTGCTAAAATTTTTGAATCCCACCCCTGCACAATATAATATGATGATAACAATAGCAATATATGAGAAATAGTGTCCTGTTTAACTTTTCTCAGTACATTTAACTGATGAGATAGTTGAC